CTTAGATTCATTAATCTTTTAATGAATGATGCTGTTTTTCTTTTGGATGATGCCTTATCAAATATGGCTCAACTACGCCAAATGCAAGCAGCTAGGTATTCTGCTATGATATAAATGCTTTCGACATAAATATCCGTTTGTGATGGAAATATGCAGTTCAAATTTTGTTTTAGGGAAGCTGGGGAATGGGAAAACTTACCGCCCCAAGAACGTGACCAAAATGAAGGCTTTTTACAACATACTGGAATGATAGCAAGGTAAAATGGTTTCATGTTCATGTTGTTTCTTGTCATTCTCGCTTGATCCTTTGAGAAAATTTGTCAGTTGATGGTGTTCATTAGAGTATCTCATTTGTGACTTTCTGTAAATCATATTTCACATTTATTGCAGTTTGTAAATGTATGTATGTTACGAAAATCAGCATCAGAATTTCAGCAAACTACTAATTGGAAAATGTGTATAATTACTGTTGACTTCCACTTTATTTTGTAACTTTTGGAATATTGTAGGGGCACATATCCTCCACCATCCCGGTATCCTCCGTGTAAATAATATATTATTATAGTATTATGTAGTTCTATTTGCCCAACAGGCTAAGGAATCTATTACGTCCTTTATCTGTGCTTTTTCTGTTTCAAAGCTCCCTCCCTCTTCTTCCTTGTTTAACCTGCAGGTCAAGAAAGCGATCATTTTTTCGGAGTCATTAGACCTACCCTGAGAAGACAGCCAGGCGCGGGCCGAGGTTGTCAACAAATCTTTTCTATAAACGACGCACTTTCTCGCCTGGTACACGACTAGACCACCACGCCACCTCCTCACCCCGAAAATACAAAGACAGTTTGTTAAAAACATCCGCCTCCTCCATTCGACGCCTTAATAAGCGATGACGTCAGCTGCGATGAATGCGTACGAATCACGTAACGCGCGTCGTAGATTATCACGGTGACTTACGCCATACGGCACACGAACGCTTTGTCAACGCGCGTCGCGTCGTGATCGTCGCGCGTTGAAAGCTAGAAAACGCACGTTATCTTGACTTGCGTTGTATCGTGAGCTGTGGACAGAACGCACGTCGCCAAGACCGCTCGTGTGCCGTTGTGCATAAAAGTGTTCATCTACCGCACACGTTACGCGAATCGTTTGCCCAGTCATCGCCGCGCGTCGACGCAGCCGAAGACATCAGCGTTGGGTGATGCGCGCCAACGCATTCCTGTGGCCCCGTATTCCAACAAGCATAAAAGACTGGCTGCATTGAGTACGGATGTCAGTGCCGTCTTTTCCACCGGGGGGCGAATGTCTGGCTCGCGTGTTTCTAAGTAACGACTTCAGTTTCTACTTCAGCTTCCGGATCAATGACCGAAACTTCAGCGTCCGGTCCCGATCAGGTTTTTGTCCAGTTTCCGTGATCCACTGAACAAATGCCGAGATGGCCCCTTGTGCATTTGGGCGTATGGTAATGTAGCTTCACCTTTTGCAAGTAGTGGTAGGTGTAGAACCGTGGGAGGGGATGTTACTATTTTGTTAGAAATACAAAAATAAAATCTGTTGTTTGTTTGCTGATGCAAATAAGTTTTCCATAACTTGGAGCAAAAATGTCCAGATTTCAAAAGTTGCTAACATTGCTTCTTTTTATTTACTCTTTTTTGCTCAAAATATTCGATTTCAGTTATGCATTTTTCTCACATATTTTTCCCTTCAGCCCCTGAAAAACATATAAGTTAAGTTTTACGGTAATGTTTTCCATGGCTAGGTTTAATTATCCATATTTATTCGTATTTTCAGCCATAGTATTTATTTTTACATACTTAAGGAAAACTCTCATATAGCTGTATATTTCAACATCTTATTTGGAATATGCTCTAGTATTTTCTTCAAACTTATTTTTAGTTTAATTCTTGGAATACAAATACTTTTATCTTTAATGCAATTTAAGTGATTTGGAATTAGATCAAGAAATAACTCCACAAGATATTGAGCGGTTCAAGATGACCCCATTCCTTCTGATGTTTCTGGAGTTTTTGCTTGAATAAAGCAATATTATGAGAGACAAAAGCTGCAGTTTCACATCTGGTAATTTATGACAGTTCCACTGCTTGGTAAATGATTACTTTTTAGAATATAAGTCTCTAACTTCCTTTCTGGAAAACAATAATAGCTGATCTCTAAGAAATGATTCCACCTTTTCCACCGCTAGTATTAAAACCAAGTTCTTTGAGCTTAACATTTATGAAACTGATACATAGAATTCATACATAATTTTTACTATTTCATTTGGGTGTTCAATTTTTTGGTTCATATTTTACTCAATATTTTGAATTTTCTATATAGGTAAGTTGTAGTGAACTTATATATGGTGATCCCTCGATTATAATGAACTTGAGCAACACCACCAAGGTGGTGTTGACTTAAGTCACTGGTCCCGTTTCACTTACATTACAAATAAGCATAAGAAAATTTGGTTATAGTGAACCTGAACTGCACTTATAGGAAATATGACCAGAAAAAGAGCATTATTTTCTTATGTAGGCTACAGCAAGCGTGCATCTGCCACAGCCACACAACCTCCTTATACCCACAGTTCCTCCTGGAAATGCAATTAGTTATATTAACTGTTTGCGCATTGCTGCTACCGAAAGAATCTTGTATGTCATTGGGCAAGTAAAAGGACCTTCGAAGAGTGGGGAAGGATATAAAAAATCCTCAGAGAACGGCAAGGTGACAAGATAGAGTTCATTGGCTTTACTATCAATAGAATCTGATGTTAGGCTTTGCTAAAATTTTGATATAATATAATAAAAGAGGCAAAAGTGTAGAAAGAAGATGTTTTAAATGAATTATATTTTATATATTTACTATACATACAAATAGTCAATAATGTAAACCAAAAGTATTAATGAACATAAATTTATTGATTGATAAATGAAATGCATAAATATTGTATTCTTTTTTTTTTAGTTAAATTATATCACAATTTGTCTTAAATTTGTAAACAAAACTATAAAAAATTCTAATTAGATAAATTTTAAATTAATTGGTGTTTAATGTATACATTGGGATTAAAAAAATTCGGCCCTGGCACTTGTAGACACACACGCACGCAAATGCACACGCACACACTCTTTCTCTCTCTCCCTCCCTACCTTCCCTTTCCCTCCCCTTTCCCTCCCTCTCTCTGTGGTAGGAAGGGTTGTTGTTTTTTTTTCCTTTTCCTTCCAACCTTTTGTGCTTTGTTTGGTTAAGAGTTATTAACTAATTTTATTTGTTTTCATTTATGGGTTTGTAGATTTGACAACATCTTGGGAAGAGAGACTATTCATACTCTAGAATTTCTTACTTCAGAAATCACATCTATATTTTGTCATCCAACTATGGTTGATAGAATAGCTTCTATGCTGAATTATTTTCTTTATCATCTTGTGGGACCAAATAAGAAGAATTTTAAAGTAAGTGCAGTGTATTTTTCTTATTTCTGTAAGTTATAATTTAATTGTAGGTTATCTTCATGAACACGATATCTTAATTGAAAATTACTTAATTAGAGAGGAATAGTTTATCTATAATTCTTTTTTATTATTTTTATCTGTATATCTTCGGTGATTGTAGGAAAGTATAGTTTGTTAATTTCTTTCTTCATAATAATTAAAACATTTGTTTTTAGGTGAAAGATCAAAAAGAATACGAATTTAATCCCGCTGGCATAGTGATGGATATTTGCAAAATTTATGTACATCTTTATAAATGTGATGTATTCTGTTTGGCTGTATCACAAGATGGGCGATCATACAGTCCCAAGTTATTTTCATTGGCAGAAGATGTTCTTGGTAGGTAATTTTTTTATTATTATTATTATTATCATAATCATCATTATTACTAGCAGTAGTAGCTTAGTAGAAGTTGCAGCAACTTGCTGAATGACACTGCACAAGGCAGATTATAAATCCCGAAGACACCGGACTCCCCTTTTTTTATAATTTTATTTTTGTTTTTTCCATATTCTTATTGTTAACTGCAATAGTTATTTACAAAATAAGTATTGTAAGATATCTTATTAGAAAATTAACACCGCTTTTTCTTTTCCACTTTGTAAAACTTCCAGTGAGCTTTCATTTTCATAGTACCATTATTGTGATTTATTTTCAATTATTTATCCTGTGAAAGGTGGCATATTGATGTTGATTATATGGGATTAATTCATAATCATACATTATGAAACTGATTATCATTATTAATAATGGGCCAAGGATTTTAGGACACTTGCGATGATTATGTTACTAATCTCAGTTTCATATATTTAAACTTAGACAACCAAAGTGAATAAAAAATACTTTTGTTTTATACCAACGAGTACATTCCATTGTTTGTGTTATTAGTATTCAGTCTGTTTACTAATACTTGTTTTTTCAATTTATTATACTATCCTCTGGGTTAAACAGAATAATACTAGAAAGTTACTGAATCTTTTATGGATTTTCATTGTAATGTGGACATGGCATGATGTGATATTTATAATTATTTCCTGAGAGATTTAAAGTAGTGTCAAATCAAAGTTTATCCAAAGATTGCCTCAGTGCCATAGATGCTACAGACAAATCTCTCTGCCTCTCATTTCATTCATATATCATACCTTTCATCCACTGTATTATTACAGTTTAACGGCATCATTGAAATGTTAGATATAAGTTTTTATTATTGAAATTCATTTTCATATGAATAGCCCGTATTGGTGGAGGTAGTTTGATTGCGGATCTACAAGCAGTTGCTGCAAAAGTAGCAGATCTTGCCTCTCAACAACAGACTGAGGAAGAGATTCTTGCAGAAGCCCCAGATGAATTTCTTGATCCCATTATGTCTACTGTAATGGTAGATCCAGTAATTTTACCTTCTTCAAGAAAGACTGTAGATCGATCAACAATTGCAAGGTCAGTAAAATTTAAAAAAAATGTGTATGCTTGTTTGAATAAACTATTGCACAACTGCTAATTATTCAATTTTTAACCTAGGCATTTGTTGAGTGACCAAACAGATCCCTTCAATCGATCACCTCTTACCATGGACATGGTGACACCTAACTCAGAGTTACTTTCTCAGATTCAGACGTGGATTAAAGAGAAGAAACAACAAGCGAGAAACAGTTCAGATTCTCAGGATTAGTGTTGTTTACATTTGAGGTATATAATGTATTATGAAATTATTTTTAATAATTGTTGAGTATTTGATTGTTTATTTTATTTTAATTTTGTTCAAATTCTAAACATGTATGCCTTTGCGCACATTATTTCTTCCCTTTCATTCCATTTAATATTGTTTGTCTTAGTACTGTAAATTACAATTGCTTCTGCTGTATAATTTTATGTGCTATGAATCTGCACAATTTTATTTTCTGCCATAGGATTTGCTCTAAGAATTTTCAAGATATGGGGTTGTTAGAGGTAGTTTTATTGTTGACAGGTGTGTTTGTGAAATTATTATAATTAAAAAGGGTTCAAAGTAATTTGTTAAGAACAGTTCTTGGGAGGACAGTTGCTACTCTTGCCAACAATGTATTGAATTTAGATTTAATCCGGTGTATACATTCAAATTAAAAAAAAAGAAAGAAGAGGAAAGAAAGAAAGAAAGAAAGAAAGAAGAAAAAGCAAGGTAATTTTGTAAAATTTCATTGTCCTCTCAGAGTATTCAAGTCTACCAAATGAGTAACAAATTGTTAATTAATCTTCTTTGTCGATCATGTGCAAATGTGTATTTGATGAAAGAAATACACAACACTAAGCGCACCAGCTTCATTCTTGTGAAATAAAAAAATATTCAGGAAATTCATTTTGTCAAGAATTGTTATGAGGTGGCAGTTGTTACTAAAGATAAGTAAAGAAATGTATTTAATTTGGTGTGAATTATTCAGTGTTCTGGTTTTGAGAAGGATCAACTTCTATGTTGTGAATTAAAGACAATTGACAAAAGTGTAAAGAAACCACGTGTGTAAGTAGATTTTATCACTCATTGTCTAGTTTCTAGTGCTCGTTATCTAGTTGTTTCTGATTTTATTATCAGTAATTTTGTTAAAGAGGAATGCGTAATTCCTTTTCCAAATAAAATATACTGAGAGATGTAGATATTCTTTTATCATGTATATTATGAATTATTTTCCAATTATATTTGTTAATTACATTGTACAGTTCCGTGTAAGAATGTGCAGACAAGCATATATCAAGTAGAGTGTAAGGAAGAACAAAACATGAGATAGGAAGTACAAAAATTGGTCAAGAAAATTTGTCCAGCGGAAAGAAAAGTAAGTTGATTATTCTGCAGAATGGAAAGGAATGAATGATTTGATACATCTAACAACAGTTACTATTGTGAACTTACATAACTGAAGAGCATTTTCGGCAGAATTATATGTATACCTTTGATGAATATTTAGCACCACAGAACATCTATGATTTTGAACTGTTGATTTTTAACTTTTCAGTTTCAATTGATATTCCTTACAACCTGCTTGGTAAATTGTATTGGTTGCTCTCAATTTTGGTGATTCAGTGTTTTATATTTGTAGGTAATGCATTGGGAGAGAAGGTTTTCTAAAAATGCTCTGTAAATTGATTGTTACTCTAAGTGTACATAAACAAATATAAATCTTGTTTCCATACACCATTTTCAGTGTTTCAATGTAGTGATATTCTTCTATAAAAGATTTTTCACATCCATTATTTTGGCTTTAGAACCAATACCTCAGTCTTAATTTTTATCAGAAATGGGCTTTCTTTTTGCAATTGATATTCACTCATAAACAGGTAAAATATAAAAGTTTGTTTTTGTTAAAATTATTTTACCCATTGAAAAATGTAAATACAAAATAATATAAGTATGAAAATAATGTGGCAGATTAAATCAATTCATCCACATTATTATATTGTTACATTTACAATATTATATATTACATATTACAATATTTTTGGTCTCCTGTAAAATTGGGTGCTATTTCAGTGAAATTAAGTATTTTTTCTTAAGCGCAGATTTTCCTTTTGAAAATGAAAGCTTGTGTCAGGTCATGAGTTATGAGTGTGGTGTGGTCAACTCTTCTGCAAACACTTCTGATGGTAAGTAAATGTATAAGTTGTGTAAATAAACAATATAATGTATATATATAAAAATTATGCCAAAGATGTGCCAAAGATCTAACCATAGGGTTACAAATTGTCTTTTAAAGCTTTTATTCAACAATTCATTCATGACCAAACCAGTCAGTCAAATAATCACATCACCTGTAATTGATTGATTGATTTACCCCCAACATTTTTACCAAAAATAGTTGAATGATGATTCAAAGTTCCAACAAACCAAGATTAGCAACATTTGAAAACTAGACTTTTAATGCCTGTGTTATAGAAAACTTATTTGCATCGGTAAATAAGCTACAGATTGATTTTCTAGTATAAGAGTTTTGCATGCCTCAGTGGGCAGCAATTGACTGCACTCTCGTTATGCACATGCGCAGATGCACAAAAGTTATGCGAAATTTGAACTGTGCATGTGCAGAAAATCTTTAAGGCTTTCGATTGCTTTAAATTTCTACATTAAAACTGATTGAAAAACCAAATCATAGTGATCGGGTACAATTCCGGTGCTTGCAATTGCAATGTGGTGGTACATTTGTCCACATTGTTTCCCCAAGATTTGAAGTAGTAGAAAAAGAAATGGAGCATTTGGACTGAAATTCAAACCAATTAGTGGTGTTTGTTGAGATTACATTTTCCACATTTTTTTTTACAAAATCTCTTTTTTTCAATTTGGAATGTAGAGAAAAGAATGTAGTGAATTAGTTACTTTGAGTAGAATATTCTCACAGAGTTACTGTAGTCAGAATCCACATTTTGTGGTTCCTTGATACTGAAAACTTGGATTTACTCATAACATCTTTTCATTTGTGGGCATTTCTAGCACCTAAATTAGTCAGAGGATGTTCTCCTAAATGAATTCTCTGACAACACTTGAAGCTCTGAGAATTTGAATTTGGCCTTTTAAGATTTGGGAGTGATATACACAAAACCTCTTTAAGGCCTTTTTGAAATTTTCTCAGTGGCTTCAAATCTTAATGTTGGTAAAGGGAAAGTACACATTTTAAAAAACTGTCACATCCAATTTCCTTGGAAACTCCCTCAAATCTTAAAAAGTAAAGGGGTTTAACATTTTTTTATCCCTACCTATGTAATTAAAAGTATTAGAATCTTTTCTTCAAAATTAATCATTAAAAAATGTAATGTATTTTTTTCTAAATTTTAGTATTTTTGAGTGAAATAGTGATGAAAAATAGATTTCTTTTTGTAATGTGACCAATTTTTTTACAATTAAAAGAGGAAAAATTTTGAGAAAAAGTACACCATAATTATAACATTTTATTAATTCAAACAAAAAAACACTAATTATGCTTACATCCCTTTTAAGTATTTAATTAAACATGTATTTTTCCATTGAATGAATGTTTTTGGTAAATATATAATTTTCTGACAATATTTGGGAAATTTCAGAGCAAGATCATGAGTATTCAGTAAATATTCACAATAATAGTTGCTGTGAAAAGTTTACGAAAATGCAAAGAAAGAAAAATTATTCACAACTATGATTATTGTGGAAAAGTATTTCGGGAGTATTGTGTTTAGCAGTACAAGTATACAAGTAGTAGATATACAGCCGATACATTCTACAGTAATCAACATCGTTGTTAATGTTTTTAGAACGAAATATTTTTTGTAACCAAATTAATAGTAAAAATTAAAATTCCGATATCTCAATTATATTCCTCCGTCTTTCTAGCTTTTCGCGGAACTACTTTTTTCCCGCGGTACGAATTGAAAATTTACTGAAAATGGCGGGAATTCCGCCGGTGGCAGATAATGGTCTTTCCGAACTAAACAATCACATGAGACGTAACAGTTCGGCGCGACGTCTGTGAATGCAGAGATTAACGGATTAGATTTAAATTATCGAGAAGGGCAGTTAGGAGGACACTTTTCGAGGAACGACAGAACATATAAGAGGACGATTAGTCATCTTACTTTTGGCCCTAATGAAATAAAATTATTTTAATAATGTGGCAATTGTCACATTTTTATTATACCCATTTGTATTTCGAAAATTACAAAATAGTTTTTCTTTCTAACCTGCCCTTGAAGATATAGTATATATGTTGTAATGCATTTTATTTCACAATATTTCATCTTTATATCATTTTCACACATGTTTTAGAAATATTAAAACGTTTGGAGTAACTTTGATTTAATTGCAATAATTTTCTTGGGGTTTGCAATCTGTGATATATGATAGAAGTAGTCTTTGGGCAGTCTCGGCAATTGGGTGTGTGGATGAGAACAAAAAGGGTTAACTTCACAAACTAAAGGCTGTGATTCGACTCCCCCCCCCCCTCAAGCAGAACAAACTGTGCGTTTAAAGGGTAGTATAAGGCTGTTTTTCCTTCTGTTAAATTGCAAATTGGAATTCCCGTGTTTCTTTTGCTGACGAGAGAAATCCACCACAGTCTGGTGTCACTAAGTGTCACTAACTTACTAAAGAGTCATCCACCACAGTCTGGTGTCACCAAGGAAGAATATCTTGAACTGTTTTCATGTGATGGCCTTTTTCTAGAATGGCGTTCTTTCGTAGTTTCTCGTGTTGCCAAAAAATTTGCACCTACTTACAGTTTACAATTTGCAAGGGGACATTGGGAGATTGATCCTAGAGAGTACCTACCACCATTCATTAATACCAGGCCAATTGTATCACTATAGTGGTAATCTATGGCACCACAATGAAAATACATCAAATATGTAGTTTTTCTCGACAGCAAAATAAACGCGAGAATTCCAGTTTGTAATTTTTACAGAATGACAAACAACCTCAAGGGCCTTTTAAATGCGCGCTTTGCTCTGTTTAGGGGGAATTTTTTGAGATTGCGATTACGATTGATTTAAATACATTTTAAAATCATTTAATTACTATGACAGACATGACTTTGGTCCAATCAGTGTAACGCTTCGACGATAAATGTTCTCTTTTCCAGTTACAACCAACAAATAATGGAGAAAATGTTCCCCTGGGAATGGCGGGAATCGAACCACAGCCTTCAGATTGCGAAGCTAATTCTTTTTGTCCTCAACCACGCGGCCAGTTCCCGAGACATGTTAATGGCATATATTTTATACTTATACAATAGATCTTAAATAGTAAATCCCTTGACATTATTGATGTCTTTCCATCATGAAGAGAACAGCAATTTCGCAGCCACACTGCCAGAAGCAGAATGGAGAAACGAACTCTGTGGGATTCTGAACATGTTAACTGCCTTTTTTGACTGGCAAGAATCGTCGTACAAAAAGTAAGGTAGGAATTTATTTACAAAGAAAGAATTGACTTTTCAGAATGGAAATAGTGAATATGTATGCGTACAGGTAATTTTAATTTTTCTTGTGTTGGTGAGAATGTATATTGTGCTGTTGCTATGGTAACGAGTTGTCATTTCCCGCTGTACTTACGTGTTTTGTTACGAAAACCCGCCACCAAGACTGATTTTGAATTGGTTTCGTTTACATAAGTTTTGTAAGTAATAGAACCTTTCTTTAGGCTTCAAAAATGCTTAGAGAAATACCTCATGCCATGACATCAGTAATTAACACTTTTCTATTTATTGTCTTTCAGATGTTGCTTCTTGACACTGGCATGCACAAAGAAGGGCATAGCTCAGAATTCTTTAGGAGGCCTTAATAACCCAGTGCAAAATTATTTGTATAGAAACAAATATTTATAAATAAATGTATAATTGCCAGAATATAATTATAATAAATTATAGTTATGTCTGATTTATTTAATTAAATATGTAAGTGCATTTATTTGTAAGTACAAAATATTTTTATTACTATTTTAAAAGTTTTGAAGAATTTATTTTAAAACATTACTGAAACAAATAATATAAGGTACAAATTTTAAAAAAATTATGTACTTATACTGAAAGTAAAGTCTGTATTTCCCATATCCTTCAAAATAGACTGCTCTCCCTCTCGCTAATTTTGGAGTGCACCCATCACTATGTTTTTGAATGCTTGATTGATGTTGCAGAAGATATGTGGTTTTTTAATTTTTGTCTAAGGAAAAGTTCCTGCTTCCAGAGAATTTATGTTTTTTTAAGTCTTTCTTTCTGTTTTTAATTTACGGGTCTCCAATAGAGTTGTCGATACTGATATACATTGTTAGAGGCCAGAAAGAGGGGTAGGAAAAAATTAGTGACTTGTTTTTTCTGTGTTAAGGTTTGTAGTCATTGGTGTGAGGAGCGATCTTGCTCTGTTGTTGTTGTGTAGGAGGAAGGTATGCTCAAGTTAATTACATACTATTTTGCAAATGACGGAGCTTACAAGGTTAAATATAAACAAGTAGTCTTCAATACCCAATCGACGAATCAGTACGAATTCTCTTCAGTAACCAAAGGCCTCTGGTTTTAACTCGTGTCATAGATATCTGTGCTGTTTTATATTTCTGACTTCTGAAAAATTAAGCTGCTTGAATGTTGAATGGATGCCCGCCTTGTGCTTTCAGTTTTGGATCCAATTCATTGTAAACCATGCACAACCTAGAGAAAATGAATTGTAAAGACATATCTTTGGCACAGGGCCCATTTTGTTGCTGTTTTAGTTACTCTGTCTCCTTATTTCTTGAGATATCACACCCACCATCAATTTAAATATCATGAAATTAGATATACTACAACAGCACGTTCTTTCTTGTATTATTGGTAACAGTTATGTAATATTATACTGCACCTTTTGACCTAACATTTCTGCCTTCACTTGAAAAACATAAACAATAAAACTGAAAATTACATAAAAACTATTAATATTTTGAAAAAAGTATACATTAAATAATTAGACTTAACATTTAGAAATAGATTGGAATAAGAAAGAAATATCTAGTACCAATACTGAAAGTGAAGGACAGGTTCAAAAATATTTTAACTTTCTCTCCAATTACACTAAAACTTCTTCTTCCATTGCTTTGTAGCCCTTTCAGTACAGCCTGGGCATCTCTTAATATGATAGCCCGTTTGTACCTATCTGTTGCTCTCCATTTCCAACCCCTCAGGAATTGCTTTCAAGTCCATTTCCATGTCTTTCAGACATCAGTTGTGTCTTTCATGAAAATATTTTCAAATAGGATTACACAAACTAATTTAAAAATATAATATCAAGAAATAGATTTCACCACAAATAAAGTTTACTTTCCAGTGTTGTCTTAGCTCCTGGCTTCTTTTGTATATTTTTCTCTTTCCTGCGTTGTTGAAGCTGCCAATTCTCCCCTGTTCGGTCTTTTGTCTTTTCAGATTGTTTTATCACCTCGCCCTGATTTGCTTGCTTTTCCCCTGGTGTAACCTCCACCGTAGTTATCTCCTTCTGTTAATCTTTCTTATCTCTTCTATTAAGTTCTTCTGGTGGACTAGGTGCCACTCTCATTTTACTACGTCTTTCTTATCGTCCCTTACATTAGTTTTCTTCTCTCTACTCAATAGAGAGTTCAGGATCCCTGAAAATTCTCTTTTCATCTGCTACCTCTTGTACCCCCAGGCTTTGATTCAGTCCCCAATTAGATCTATTAATAATTCTGCAATTGTGTGAGAACTTGGTGGCAGAATACACTAACTTAACATTACAGAACTTAACAACTATACAAATTCTAC